CGAACATAATCAGATACATCAAAGGAGTTGGTAAAAAAAGCCCACAATTCAGGCTAAAATTTACCTCGTAGTCCTCAAAGTGGCTCAATACAACTGTTTCATTGGTTGTGTGCTACAAGGAAAATATTCGTATCACAAAATTAAGCAAAAACAACGTAGAACAGCAACATAGCCGCGTTGACGTTGAAATTGAAACCAAACAAATTGAAGCAACCTAATGGCGCCGGGTGCGTCAGCGCCCTCTATCCGCCAGTGACGCAACTACTAAAACGAAAAGGTCTGTAGGATGCCCTACGCTTTGTTCAACAGCCTATATGGCTTCAAAATATATGCGGTAGCGTCTGTCCATCCTCATCTCGATCACGTCGTTTCTTTGTTGCCTGAGCGGGCAATCTCTCGAGCTTGTCCTGTGCGTCACTCCATTATTGCTTCATAAAAATAACGCATTCAAAGTAACGACAAAATGACGCTTCACCTTCAAGCTTACGTAGCGCGTTCCTCTTGAATCTCGGCAACGAGCAACGTATTCAGTTACGTTTCGAGTGAGTACCGAGTAACGATATTTAATTACTTAATTCCAGTATTCCAGTGTGTACATGTCTGATTGACCGCTATCTTTCCTCGCTTCGACCCTCACGGGGACACGTGATAGAAGGACCAGGCGGAAGCTCATAAGAGCACAAACGAGACAGAGAAAGGGGTCTCTTATGGGGTACCGCCAGATAGATACGAGCCACTCTCAGGCGGCAGCCAAGGCCCCGAATCGAGTTGTTGAAGTCTTCGTGTATTCGTCCAATCATCCGTCATTTATTGGTATGTGTCTACTGTATAATTTACGAAGTTTGAAAATTAAGTTTCCTGTCCGATCCGTTCACTGTCTCCAAGGGCCAACGCAAGCCTTTTCCTTCGGACGACCAACGTGGAAGAACATCCCCTTCATCTCAAAAGGCTTGGTGGAAGGATGGAGAGTATCCATGCTAAACGAAAATTTGAAGAATGCTTAGGCTTCGCCTTTAGAAGTGGAGTGCTAAAGCTGAACATATAAACTTCCGCGCGTTCCCAAGCCGTGCAAGCGCCTCTGCGTGGCCAAATGGCAATTAAAAAAAAAAAAATAAAAAAGCCTCTTGCCTCGCTTAGTTAGTAGCCCGTCTGCTTCGCAACCCAAGAGCCGTGGGTTTGAATCCCGCCTAAAATTCTCCAATTATTATTTTCTTTAACGCAAATGAATCATTTTATAAAGTGATCACCTTTGAGACATGCGGCGACTTTTAATTCGCGTTGCATGCCATATTTTATACACTTTCATTCTACGCGTGACGGCTCGTTTCACGTGAGCGTTGGGGCTTCTTTGAAATTGCCGGGCTAGGTCGTGTGTCTGTGACGTCATTAGCCTACTGACCAATCAGGATTTTTCCGTCACAACGTCACCGACACCGGCTTTTCTGAGAAGCGAGGTCCGTAACGCTTCCGCGTTAAAACAGAGCAAAAGCTTACTGTGCCTGAGAACTACGTCCCAGTCAGGACGGCCCATCCGGCCAAAGTCTCGCGGATGGATTCAGCAAGGGGACCAGTGGTCAGCGAGAGCTTGAAGTGCGGTGGGTGCGTCGTTGCCTGGGAGGGAGCTAGCCGTTCCTCCCACGAAAGGGTGTGGGGGAAATCGGGGGAAGAGTGGGTGATGTACGGGCCAACGAGTACATAACACGTTTGCAGGCTTACGCGTGACTTGTATTCAGTTACTTTTATCGGTAACGAAGTAACCACTTGGTTACTTTTTAAGAGAAAGAACCAGTACTGAGTTTTTAGTCACTTTTTGAGACACTGACGATTAACAGTATTCAGTTACTTTCTTAGGGGAACGGTATACGGCACAAATTATCGAATTGGGTTATCACCTAAGGAAGAACGTTTCATCTACAGATATTTCTGTAGTGAAATATAACAAATATAGTTTCAGCAACCAGGTAGCACAACAAAGTGAATAGACAACATTTTCTTTAATGTTTGTGTTTTACGCACATGCAAAACAGGCGCTTACAACCACAGCAACGCGAAACCTCAGTTGATTTCTCCAATCAACAGATTGCGCACAATGGCAATTTATAATGTAAACATCAGAAGGCGGCTACTGCTACAGTGAAATGACACATTTAGTTTAGTTTCATATTAAGAAGGAACGCGTTCCTTTTTAATATGAGTAACGAGGAACCTATCTAGTTACTATTTTTTAAACGAGTAACAAGTGAGATCATTTAGTTACTTGTTTTAGCATCGTCTACATGTCCAGTTACAAGACTAGTAGGCGTGAGGGATGGAGTGGTATACACCGCACTTGGGACAGGGGTCAGGGAGTCGGGACGTTTGCAAATTTGGTGTCGACGATGTGCTTTGATGAAAAGGGGTTGTTCTCGAATGCCTGACGACGGTGACTTGCTTTTGCGATATGGTCTTTGGAGTTTGGGGTGAAATGGTCATCTCTTGTCGTCGTCCCATGGCTGGCTAAGAACTTGTGCTCCGCCTGCTAAGCAGGCGCCCGTCCATGGCTAGACCGGCCACCTACCCGTCAAGAGCGCATACTTGCTCCATCTGTCCTGGTCCAAGTGGCCAAAGCGCGCAGCCCTTCCCTCGCTTTCTTTCAAGGAGGGAAGGAAGTGCGGCGTGAGGCGTCGAAATGGTGCGCTGCGCTGTTCGAGAGGCACTGCAAAGATAAGCTTTCATTCTTTGGTTCACCAATGTCAGGCGAAAATTCCCGGCGGCGCGCGTTACATGTGCGCTTTGGCCACGGGGAAGCAGGGACCACCGGCACGGAGATGCGTTTAGATCAGTCATGTAGAAGTTACTAAAAAAAGTAATCGATTACAATTACTATTATTCTTGGCTAAAAAGTATTCGATTAGAATACTTGATTACTCGACGGCAAAAGTAATTGGACATCACTTAAAGAAGTAATCGTTAATTTTCCGATTACTTTATTGTGGGAAGACACATCTTTAGCGCTCATAACAATGAACTACTTCCAACCTATATTTCACATTTGCACAAGTATTGAAGAAGAAAAACTGGCTCCCTCTTCGTTGTCCTTGCACCTTCACAATGCGGACACAAGCATAGAATTTGTTTGAAGACGTTTAATGATATGGGCGTTCGCCAGTGTGTGTGTGTGTGGGGGGGGGGGGGGGGGAGGGGGTTCTAGGTCTTGTTAAGCTTGAGCAAGGGTTGTCGCTCAAAGTTTGCGTCGCTCATTTTATTATTCACATGTGGATGAGCTCGCATGTTATACAAAAGAGCAGCAGCTCCAGGATTTGAAACGGATCATGAGTAGTATCCATTAGCGGAAGAGATCGCCCCGACCACTTCTCAACTCGAAACATTGCTTGTCACAAAGACCACGAAGGGGAATTGGGGAAATATTTTAACTGCCTTTGTTATATTTTGCGTCCGCTTCAGACATTCTTCGGTTCTGGTTCTCCTACGGGCTGCGAGTAGGTACCCTAAGCAGGATTTTTTTATTATTTTTATTTTTGTGTGTGTGCGCGTGAGGCGGCTAGTTTGAACGAAGGGCTCAAAAAGCTACATTCTGCTTCCTCAAACTTCGCCCTGAATGGCCTTTGTCACGCATTGTGGCTTCCCTGGGGCTTCCCACTCCCAGTCCCAGCTCGAAAAAAAATAACGGACATTCCACAGAAACTGTACATAGAAAGATATTGACCTTGTTTTCTACAGCTCCGCAAAAACCTTTCTTTTTCCCGTTCGAAAAAAAAAACAGAACAAATTTTATTTTTGTCATTTTATAAAAAAAAAGCGTGTGCCGGGGGGGGGGGGGGGGGGGGGGGGGGGGAGGGGGGTCCCGTGGACAAATTGTAATGGTTACAAGTAATTTTATTACTTCAAAAACTAATCAGATTACTCTTGTGATTACTGCCTAATAGAAGTAATCAACTGATTACAAAATTACTCCAAAAAGTAATCGATTACAAGTAATTTGATTACTTGTAATGCGTACGGTACAAGTCTGGTTTAGATAGGGAGACCAAAGCTACATTAGAAAGGTGTCCAAATCAAGTAAGTTTTCGGAACGCTGTATATCTCTGGGTGCACTGAATTTCTTTAGATGTGCGCTGGTTTAGTTGTTTTTCATGATGACCTGAATGCTTTGTATATGTTAAAACTTTGCCTTGAAATTTATAAATTAAATATAAATAAATAGAAACGAATTTCAGCCTAATTATATCGGACGTTTTTTGTCCAGTGGAAGAAAAGAATATTACATAAAACTTTTATGATACGATGCGTACTTTTTGTGGGAGCGAGTTTGTTAGTGCACCATAATATACTGTATACGGTCCCCTTTACTTTCTTCAATATAAATGCATCATAGTTCCACCCATGTTTAGGCTCTAGTTTGACTCGTCGAGTGCGAGTTTAAAATCTTAGGAACATCGCGATTTTCCCTTCACGGTCGCAATAATGATGTCGAAGCCTTTATCAAACTTTATAGCGAGATTATATAATAGGCTCCACTGTACGTTTGTCGACTTTCCGTGACTATATTTAATTCCATTCTTGGTCTAGTTTCAAATAATTAACACCAGCTTATTAGCACCTTTCAATTGAAATTGTTTTCACCAAATATTATTTTGAAAAAACATAACTTTTGCTCTTTTTATTATTCTAATTTGTATTGCGTTTTATGCTTCGCACTTCTTAATTGATATTCTGACGAAACTATAATCACTTAAGTCTTCAGACAACTTAAGAAACCGATTTGCTTAGGTTGTCAATGATTAAGGCGAGAATTCCTTGTCATCACAATTTTTGTGTAAGACTTCCCTGATTAGAGATTATCAATCTACTAAACAAACGAAATGCCATACCAGGGGGGTTGACAAAATGTTTTTAGATTTTTATCAGGTTTACTGGCACAAAAAATAAAGATTGGGACTGTTTTCATTAGTATTTTTATTATTATTTCGAAAACTTTTTTCCATCCATTCGGTTGTCGTTCATGAAGTTTCTTGCTCAAACGTATATTTCGCCAGGCTTGCGGTGCGCTGTGCTAATTTTTTCTGGCTGGTGGAGAGGTGGTAGCTCTGAGCTACATTTGCTTGGAACAGCCCTAATGCCTGAAACGTGACGTTTTTCCCGTGTTTTTTTAGATGTTCGTGTTCGAAACCTTGCACGTTTAAGTACTTCCATGTTAGTTTCTTGTCGGGCGTTTCATACAATGCTGCAACGTATCCCTCGAAGGAGATGTCTGCTACCCACGGCACCACCTGTAAAGATACAAAATAGTACATAATTTCATGTATAAGCAGTGTGACCCCGGCTTAAAAGGCTTTACTGTCAACACTGTAAACGTGACGTTAGATGCTTTATTATGGGCGCTTTGTTCGCGGCGGGTTACAAGGAGCTTGATGGCGTGATATGAATGCTGGGGAAGCAATCACGCCAGCAAAACCAATAAGTAGGCGCAACAAACTGTTTTTCACACTGCCGGGGCTTCCTGCCTGGCATTTGCGCTGCCCGGGCATGAACGACTCAAACTCACGTCACAATGCCTTATTTTGTATATGAAAACTGGACCCTGTACAGGAGCTCCGGCCATGCGGTAAATATGTCTAGCCTTGTTAAGGCGCGGGCCCACTGCTTATACATAATACAAAATAAAGGTTGCACGCTGCACACATGATGACATGATCACCTGGAGACACGCCTGAATCATGTTGGAAGCATGCTTCCTTCGTACATGTGCAGACAGTTTTTGTATGCCCAGTCTAAGACAGGGCCTGCCCACTGTCTTTTGTATGACGTGTCAAGCCGGGGTCGCACTGCTTATGCATCATACAAAAGTGAGTCTGCATAGAAATTTGAACGCGAGTCACGGCGAGATATCCCTGTATCGAATGCCGGATGGCAACGATTTCAAGGAAAATGCTTTGCACGTGGCATTCGATCCCCGGATATTACGGTGACTCGTATTTGCAGAACTGTCTTTTGTATTATTTATGGGCAGCGCGACCCCGGCTTTACACATCTGAAGCAAGCCCTTTGAGAACCTACTCATATATTCGTCTATTCTACCTTAAGTCTTTTGGGGAGTTCGGATCCAAGTACTCCAAGTATTCGAGGGGAAAAAAAATACATGGAGAAAACACGTTTTCCGCGAAATCACAAAATAATGGGGAAAAAATAGCGTTCTCCGGAAAATCCAGTTTTAAAAAAACTGACATGCAGTAATGCAACCACCAGCTCCGCGCCACTGTCAGTAGCTTCACAGCCAAACCTGGTGGTGGTCTCTCTCTACTGGACAATCAGTATTAGTGTCGCGAAACATTAATGACGTGAAGAAGATCTGCAGATTATCTTGGTTACGAGCGTTCTTACTGAGCGTGTACATTCAGTCGACTTTCTTCTAGGAAGCTAGTTTTAGACTGGCGCTGTTTTGTTTTACGTCGATAGATGCGCGATGGTTGATTTTAGACAGCCAGAAAGGTTCAACTGTTTCCATCAAAACTTATTTAAAGGAATTGTCCGGAAAACATTTGTCTTTCAGTAAACAAATAAATTATATTGACATTGCTTTTAATAATATCATAATGGCAATATCCGACGTTTTAATACTCCTCCGCACAAGTAAATCAATTCAAAACGGTCCCGAACTGCTCAAATTGCACCCTCAAAACACACAGCGTTTTCGTTGGCCACAAAATAAGCTCTGACGTAACATCACGCCAAGAGAGCCACGGTAGCTCTTGACTGCTGTCTCAATAAAATAACTTCTTTCCGAAAAAAGCAAGAATTACAATAATTGAGGGAAGATCGATTCTCTGACGATGATCTTTGTACGCATCATCAACCATGTTGATCAAAACTAGGAGTAAGTCAGCGTCCAGAACTCTGACGTTACTTACCATGCCTGATGTGAAGTCACGACACGACAAGCCATGCATACTTGCAAACTTTGGCATGAAGTTTTGTATTGAAATTTATAAATGATTTAACGAATACTGGGGGTCTTTTAGTAAAATTAATATCACACCTGACTATGCTTAGGCCCTTTTTTGCGACCAGCGCAAGAACTGAGTAACTTCCGGATTTCATCAGATAATCCCTTTAAAATTGTTGTTTGCCGACAAAGCATTTTGGCTCTGATTGTAGGTGTCTTTGATAATAATTCTCCACAGAAAGAAAATGTTTTGCCGGTCATTCAAATAAAATCCGAGAATTTGTACGGAAGGTGGCTTCAACGTGGCGTCTTGATATGCAAGTAATTTTCAAAATATTTTTATTGTGCTCTTATTCTTTTGTGCTGATTTCATCACCGTCATTCCACAAAAAAGTTGCTTAAAAACGGTGTAGTTATTGACATAGTGCGATCTTTAAGTAACTTTTAATCGAAACATCGATGAAAAAATACCGACTCGTACGCACCACTTGTGCTTCGTTGACATACCACTTGGCTTCGATAGTAGCTCCAGGGGGTATTTTTATATCTTGTTTAATCAGTTGTCGCGTAGTGCGTGTTTCGGTTGTGGTTGATCCAGAGCTTGTCTTCACTGTTGTCGAAAATTCTGTCGAGAACTGATAAATTAGCGGCACGCTTATACTGAACTTGGCTTTAGCGGTGAAATCTGCTCCCCTGGTGACGGACCACATGTACTCGTCTTCGTGGTCTACTTGCTCCGATATGTACGCCTTACCCTCCTCGTCAGACTGGTTGTTGTGAAATATCTGCACGTATACAGCAGACAGCTTTAGAGACTGTATTTTAGCGGACTGGTAGACCACCCGGCCGACATTGAACTTGACTGGTGGGTACCTGCATCGAAAAACTGCAACGTCATATGCTGCGCTCACATATGTACAAAAGACCACCTCCAGGCACTGTCTAAGGCCTCTTTTTTTGTATGGCGGTACTGTCACGTGGGCCCTGAATGAACTTTTGGCAGACATGTTCGAATGCGTATGAAGCAGACATTCCCCGAGTACACTTGAGGCGTGGCCCCAGATATTTTGATCTGCAACGCGATACTCTTCGTGGCACAGCTACTGCACCCTCTCACTGTAGTTAAGATTCATCTCCCTTGGGCCGTCGACGCTATTAAATCTAGGGATTAGCGAGAGTTTTTATCCTTTACTATAATACCGTTCGTCAGATGATACTTTGAGTCCCAGACGGAAACCTTAATTAGTAGTAAATATTTATATCCATAAATACAGCCTGGGCGAAATTGATTGATCGCAATTTAAACTGACCGCACAAACCGTTTTTTTTTTTAACTTATCGCGCTGATATTTATTACAAAGATTCTATTAACAGACGCTATGTATAGTTATTGAATGGTCTTTTGTTTTGTAATATTTAATTGTTAAAAAATGTAGAACTTTGTACAAAAGCATACAACACAAATTTACCGGTTTATTGAATGAATGGCGAAGAAACGACGCGAATCTTAAAAATTTTGAGCAGTTGTTATTTCTTTCGGAGATTCCACGTTGTGCCATTTGCGTCGCTTTTCTAACATCAAGGATGTCACCAGCGGTGAGAGTTTTTCAGTGCAATGCATCTTAGTGAAGTGATAACATGTTTACTGACAAATGCAAATGATTAATGCCGCTCGTTTTTCTTTTTTTTTTCTACTCCGTTTATTGTTTTTCGGCACTGCGTGCACATATAAGCAGATGACACGGTGCAAACAAATACGCGTACCAGTATATTTGAAAAAAATTTTTAGTAGTCGTATATCTCTACATTGACGTTGAAACTTGTAACAGGAGTACTTTCGATTTAAATCAACCTTAGTTTGCTCTTTCATTTACTTTTTTCGGAATTAATAGTAGCATAACGTACTTGACGAGGTTTTCAATGGGACCTCGGGTTTTGTTATCTCCAGTGACATCAAAAGTTGCCAGCCTTTCATTGTAAGAGCAACTTCGCAGGAGAACTTCGTAAATAACGTCTTCGAGGTCAAATAAGGTGCCGTTGCCTAGAAGAGGAAAGTATAGATATATCTATTAAACAATTAGACCTATACCGTCCAAGGATTCCAAAAATGCTAAATACGCGGAGAATGTTATATTCCAGAAAAAGAAAAGGTATGGTACATAGATCTAGGTTCGAAGTTGAAAGGAGCCGCCACTACGCCTAAAGCAACGGTCGGACTTCCTATACATCAGAACAATGTTCGCACACTCTTTGAGGCGTGTTCCTACCTTATACGATTGTCCACTCGTGTGGATAGTATAAAAACACTGCCGCAGGCATGTTCAAATCATTCATGCGTGTGAAGAAAAAATGCATCCAGCGTGCTTCAGGTGTGTTCGCAGATAATTCTCTTAACATATTGCAGAGCATCGTGTCTTTTGTTTTACCGCGATAGCGTTTAGGAGGTCTCATCGGCATTGGTGGGACGGGGAAATCCTGATTGGTCCCTAAGTAATTTATTTGCCTTAAACAAAAACAAAATGCAAAGACTTTCAGATTGACCGGGATTTAACCTATGACCCTTCCGTTGCGAGCCAGACCAGCTACCCACTAAACCACACAGACACTTTTTTGTGTTTATTATATGTAAAGTTACGTTCCAAATTCAGGTTGCAAGGTTAAAGGTGAAAGGTGATTATATACATTGTGTTAGATATGAGGTGGAAAGGTGAGAGGAGTGTCAACTTAAACCGATGTCCTATATCACTCTTTCTCTAGTGGCGCATCTTAGGCACGAAGGCCACGTTTCTTAGCAGGCTGTAACCTGAAAAGTCAGTAAGTCTTAAACACACATCAAAAAGGGGAGTCGGAAGTCTTAAACGCGCATAAAAAAAAGGAAACCATTCAGGTACTGGTGGTTGAGCTTTGTAAACACTTCTTGCTTTCGAAATTTCTTCTGGAAAAAGGAATTTTGTGGTGCGTGGTGTGTCGGCGTTCCTGTCAATCATCCGGAATCTCCAGGTGCTGTGGAGGCATATCAGCATTAATAAATTATAGGAAATATTTGTTTTCCTATGTGTGTGTTAAAAAAACGAATACTAAGATCTTTAAAGTCTATATCCTTTTTTAGACTTCGTTGAAAGGCATCCCGGAAGAAAACGGTATTTGTACAGTAGATGAAGCAGTGTTCTATTGTTTCCGGTCAATGGCATAATCGACAGTCATTTTACCACGGTAAAAAAGATCCGAGTCTCTAACTTAAAAAAAATGTTTTAGCACTTGGAGATGCATGGCACAATCGCTTTAATCATTTTGAAACATCTTGTCCTTCACAGTCACTAAACCTTGTCCTGTGATAGCTTGATGGGAAAGAGACTTTCAATCAAGAATTGTGATTGCCGTTTTTTTGGTACTTTAAATGGGTATTCTAATGAGAAGCAGATTTTTAAAAATATAAAGGTACCGACTACCTACTTCCAAAAGCCTAAGAGTTTCTCTGGTCTAGAATTCGCTGAAGAAATGGGAGAAAGTGACGTGCTAGCTTTTTTTTTTTACGATCAGAAGCAGGAAAGGATGAGATAAATTCCAAAAAAAAAAGTCGCGAAACGAGTTGGCAGACTAATAAATGCGTCAGACTTAATCCACCAGCTTCCAAAGGAATAAATAAGTAATCGCGTTTTATCCGTTCCCAAGATGAGCTCCAGATAAAGGTCGCAAAGCTCCTATGGAAGGCTTGTAACTTCGGACGGTCATAATGTTATACTTTTAAGACGCAGATTAGTTGAGATATTAAAAACAAATGTTGCACCGTGGTGCATTTGCGAAGATTGAAAGCTATAGTGCCCTCCATGCTAATGAATTTTGCTCAATCTCAGTTACAACGGAGTTCAAATATAGATTTTTTGATCTTGCTTAATGTAGAGGAGGGGTCTCCAGACTTTATGGCTAAGCGGCTGGATTAGAGCGTCGGTCGCAATTTCGAGGGACGGAATATAAATATGAAAATGTAAAGAATAGAAAACTATTAGTTCTCGTCTTTCCTGCTATTTTCATGTGTGCGTTTAGTGCGCGTCGCGGCGCCGTTTTTTAACACGAGCTTATTTCTGCGTCGGTAGCAGCAGGCCATCTGGAAGCGTGCCGGGGAAGGGCGTCACTGGAAGGACCGCGGCAAGCCGTGGGCCGGTTGGGAGACCCCTGATCTAGAGCAACGCCAATATATTTGAAAGGAAAACAATGCCATGATTAGTCAGCAAACTGTCCTGGCACGGTTGCCCACGCGCCTATCGAGAAGCCAATAGATATTTCTGTGTTCATCCTCCCTCCCAGTTGGGTCGCAATACTCCTGCTATTTGAAGGCCTTTTTTCACGCTTTTTATATTCGAACAGGGCAGCACTACGTCATCAGCACATGCCAGTAACTTTACATCAGCGAAGCAAAGGCTGTAACCTCGGATATTATCATTGGTAATAACGCGAAGGCAGGGAGGTTCAAGGTAAAAAAAAACAAAAATAAGTGTTGATAGATGGCAGCCTTGCCTTACTGAAGATTTGATAAGAATAGATATAGAAAGAAGTTGTTTAACATTAGCCTTGTGCTGCTGTTTTTGTAACAGCTCAATGCCCTCGAATAGCTTGGTTCCTGCGTTTGTATGAGAAAGTATTTTGAATAAGAAATAATAGATTACTCAGTCGAACGGAATGGACAAGTCAAGTTAAACTATTGACACTTGATCTTGGTCATCGGATACCGTCCATCACATATCTTCCTAAGTGTAAGTTCATTTGAATGTTTCGTTCATGTGTACCACAAGTTTGGGGTTATCCGGTTAGATTATGTATTACGAGGTGTAAGCGCTTGTTTAAAACTTCTGAGATTATTATAGGCTCCATTCAGGGCGTGACACATGCCATTTAGTTTTACCACTGGTACCTGACACAGGACGGTGGTCTGAAAAAATACAGGTTGAACCGTGTAGCCTGAAATAACCTTGTAAAATTTTCCATAGACGTATATTCGATCCAGTCGTGCGGGAGAAGAGCGATAGAAATGTGTTTAACGCACTCTGCTTCCTTTCTGTTCTCCAATGTCCGCTAAGTTTTTTCGGTAATGAAGGACTGCAGTAAAGCTACAGCAGAGTCCAATCTTGCCGTAAATTGGGGGACGACCTTTTATGTTTAACACACAGTTGTAATATTGAAGTGGAAGTAATTTTCTATCGGTTGTAATCAGTGTGTCGAACCGAAAAAAAACGGGTTCGGTTACGGTTCAGGTTCAGGTAAATTTATTTTGTTCCGGTTCAGTTCCGGTTCAATTAATTTGATCCGCGAACCGGTTCGCGAACCGGTTCGGGGCGCTGAACCGGTTCGGGGCGCTGAACCGGTTCGCGAACCGGTTCGGAAATTATAAATGAAAAATTGCAACATCAAAATAAATTACAAATAAAACATCTGAAATCAGCACATACGAAACGGGATACATCGTAGTGTAAGGCTTAGGGATTTCTACCAGGAATGGTTTTTTTATGTGCACTCAAAGGTTACCTCACGGACGTTTACGCATTCGGACTTCATCTAATTGGGTCCGACGCAGTAGCTGTAAAATCCGCGACCTCCTTGCAAACCCACTCACAAGTAGAACTCGCTAACTATCCCGCCACCTCGGCGTGTAAGCAATTGAAGGAACAGTGGGGAGAAAATACAGCTTTCTTTATTGGAACTAGCCTTCGGTAACTCAAATTAGACCCTTAAGGAAGTTTTCATTAGACAAGATACGGAATATGAAAAACACTTCACCGAACGCAACCCCAGAAGGACGTAATAGGGTAAATATTAAAATAGAAGAGTTCGCCGTCTCACAAATATGTCAGCTTCTAAGTGCCTATACGAAACCGGATGCATTATTATCAAGCTCCAGAGCCTTTTCTTTTCTCATTCCGATGGAAGCAAGCTTCAAGAACTCGCGCGTTCTAGAAACGTGTTATGAAATGAGCACACAGCAGCATTTAGGATTTACGAGATTGTAGGAAAATGAAATCCCGTGACGCGATTTTTTTTTTTCACAGCCTTCCAATTCTCTTTCTTCCGTGCAAGCCGTGACCAGCGCAATACTGGTTCCTATGTCAAGATTCGTGGATGCAGTGTTTGTCAAGATTCATGGATGCAGCGTTTATATTCCCAAGACTGAGTAGAGAAGAAAAATATGTAAGCGAGGTGTGTGTCAGTTGACGGCACTTAAAAAACAAATGGCAGTGATAGCACATTCAATGTCAACAGCGCGTGGCCGAACCGTTTTGACATGAGCCGGTAACCGTTATTTTTTTTCCGGTTCAGTTCCGGTTCGGGTTCATCGCGATAACAATATAACGGCTCGGGTTCGGGTTCAGTTCCGAAAAAAATACCGGTTCGGTTCCGGTTTTCGGTTCGATTCGGTTCCGGTTCGACACCCTGGTTGTAATATATGATTCTATGAGTAAAAAGAAGTCATTAAGTGCATGCATTCACAGTGTTCGGAGCGTACACACACACACTTTATGGAACATTTGTCATTGTCATAAGATCGCATCCAATGAAGCGCCCATCCCGATGAGTGGCGAGAGCATTAGCGGTCAGACCCGTTTTCCTTTTCAGTAGTAAAAAAAAACAAACGGCCGACGTTCCCGTTGGATGGGTGACACACACATCGAAATCACTTGGAAAAGGTATCAACGCGGCTTCGGTTCCTTCCGCGCCGGATAATTTCGTTCTTGGAGCTGAGGGGTGCTGGTATGCGATCGTTTATAGTTGAGCGTTGTCGCTCAGCGGCTTGTTTTCCACCAATTTAATGCCAGAAGATGGCGTCCAATGCGGCTGTGCCCTGTTCCAGCCTTTCTTCTCTCGCACAGTTTTGATCTAGTTAAGAAGCCATCACTCAAGGTAGCATTTGTAGGTGCCTCAATTGCAAGAATAGTGTCATCTGCTCATTCGATTTCTTGCGTTGGGTTACCTCGCTCCTTAACCTCGGTGGTTATTGCGTTTTGTTTGATTATCTGTGAAAGTCTGTGCGTGTTCTGTCGTATGAGAAGTCGTTGGTGTTCTTTCTTGAATGATAGGAGTGCTAGCGTGTTGATCCGCACTCACGTCAGGAGAGGGAAAGGAGAGATGGTTCGGTCCGGGGGTGGCTGATGTGTTGCATCTGCAGGCTCAGTCATCATGGGGATGTCCCCTTTCTGTTAAACAACCTCTCTTGCATCCATCAGACGTTCTCTAGTCAGTTGTCTGCTGTTGTAATCCTAAGCCTGTCGGCGCGTGTGAGGGACGCAGTCAGCATGGCTGTGTCCGTACCCTTGGCACTTCGTGCACCTCGGTGCCCGAGAGTGGCTACGGATGTGGCCCACGCGGTTGCATCGCAGGCACAAAGGAGGTCGGTCGGAGACCAGTACCAAGATCTGACACCCATAAATGCCAGTATGTGAGAACTCTTGCTCAGGCTTATGTCGGCTCGGTGTGTCAGTTGCACCTCTCTGTTGAGAGGATCCATATATGAGAGAATGGTGTCAAAACTTAGTGTGGTCCAGCAATATCGCGACGGTGTATCGGTGTTCGACACTGTTTTCATGTGCATTGACGTTTTATTTTCATATTTTTTAATAAAAATGGTCGAGTGAGGTGAAGAAAGTCGGGCGGCTCGGAATTAAAGGCTTTCAAGTGTCGAGCGCACGCTTCCTCATTTACAGCCTTTCGCGCATAACGCGTTTCTCTCTTTCGTACTTTATTTCGTAAATGAAAATGGTTCCGCCCGACTCCGAAAAGAGATGGGCTTTTTCAAGATGCACTCTTTCCGAAACCTGCAGGAGTACTATAAATTGCATACGTGGCGTTCTAAGTTTCATCATAGGAGGTTTCATATATTAATTAAGCACGTTAGAATAAATGGGCGCCTTTTCCTCGCTTTCGGTGGTAAGGCCCTCAACTGCAACCTCCTTAGCCCCACCTCCCTTGAAAGGGTACTGAAGCGAAACTTGAAATACACCCATTATGGTCAGAAATAAGTTTAATATGATCAATGATATCCGCAAATCATAATCGCGCGTTTGTATTTTGAACGGATGGCTATATTTTTCACCCTTAGGGGCCTGATTGGGCGCGCGCTCGAAAATCAGCCATCGGAGAGCGCGATGCGTCTTGGGATATTGGGCGCATTCGTGACGTCACTTGTGCCAGACGGGAAGGGCTACGGCGTGGATGTTGTGGTTACGAGCGTTGCAAATTGGTGGCGCGTCGACGATTTACGACCTGGGACAACGTGGCCGTTTGAGATGTGCAAGGGCTGCACGCACGCTGCACCACGGCAAGTCGGCAACCACGGCACCACTGACAAAACCAGCTCTGAGGCCGGATTCTCAAAGCGAACTTGCAACGAAAAAAGTGCGTACGAAAAAATTTGAGAGAAAACCCGTATTCTCGAAACGAAAGTTTCCTAACTTTTGCGCAGGTTACTACAGAATCCTATGACAGCTCCGAAGCTGTCTTAGGCACTTGTTATGATCAAATCAACAAGGCCGAGAGCGTCGCTCAGTTACTTGGTAGTGACGATCAACGGACATTCATTTTCCTGCGTGCTCTTCGCGTGCGTCTCGACTTCAACCAGCAAGAAAAAAAGAAGGAGTACTTGAAACAGCCCACGACAATCAAGAACGCAGGATCCATAAACACACAAGAAAACCTACAACGGCCACGATTCTAGAATATAGTAGGCCTAGCAGCAACACCGACTAGGCGCACCGTTGCTCCGGCGGTCCTCGGCCCAGACCGTCTGCCCATGACCGGCTGGCCTGCTGAATGTAATATGCCCGCGCGACCCTTGTGGACCCTTCCCGGATGAATAGTTTGATCCCTGAACTAAATTTCAGAGGTCAATCTTTTCCCCTTGTCATCTCGATCTCCTTGTTTTCCTAGACAGCGGTGACGAACGCTGTCGTCGAAAAGGGACTCTCATTGAGTCTATCTCCTTGTTTTTTTGTGATATAGAGCTCAAATAAACGCCATACGGATTACCTTCGCAACACGGTATGTACACTTTGTTATTAGTATGCCATTTTTATTCTGACACGGCGCTACGTCACTGTCGAGCTATAGCAGTTCGTGGGAGCTACGCGATGTCGGTCCAACCTTTCTTTGCCGAGTGTCATGTCAGTATCGAGTTGCAATCGTAAAAGATCGGTCCAGAAGCGCTTACCGAAACGCGGTCCGACAGAGCGAATCCAGCACTTCGATCAAACTCGCCCGTCCGCTCCGAGTGTGAACAGGTATTTGCGTGGCTCTTGCTGACACTCTCATAGTTCAAACGTATCTTTTTTAACGTTGGCTCGCAGCTTGCAACTCACAGCAACTAATACCGGCCGTGCCAGAAGCATGCTCGGGTCGTGTCGCGCAAAGAGCCGCAACGAGAACGAGCTCACTGTGGCCAACTACGCTTTGGCTTTCTCCGCCAAGGCTTTGCAAACGCGTTCAGGCCTAGGCTAATTCTGCCGGCACGCCGTATTTGCGCAGAACGGCGCTGCTCTTATGCCACAGCTGATATCACGAGAGCTTTCACACCATCCACCAGATGTGAATTTGAAATCGTTTAATTAGGTTTAAAATTAGTTCTCCTATGTTTTACAGCGCGATATTGATATTTACGAGGTGGTGCCTGTCCCCAGCCCATTTTTATGCAGAAAAATCGACGCTAAAATTCCGTTTCCGTACGCTTTTAAGCCAGCATTGTATTTCTCCCTATCCTAATGACACCGTGTTTAGAAACACAAATCCGTCCACTCAACAGGTAGTCGATTGAGCCAATGCCACCTAAAAGACAAGGCCTGCTTATGACGTCGTCAATAGTGGATCCCCAACCCACCCCAAGCGGCAAACACGCTGAAGCTTTACGAGAGTCGCAGCAAAGTGCCAGACGCGTCCATCTTGGCGTCGTCACGTTCCAGCGTCGCGCTCTTTGTGAAACGCAGTGAAACACGCTGGCAGCGACGCTGACGCAAGCTAGGCGCAGCTGCGTGGAGTTATTAGTGATGACGTTTGGGAACGAAAGGCCCAGGCCTTGTCTTCTAAGTGGAATTGACTGAACCAAACAGAAACAAATGGCACAACAGTAACAAAGGATAAAATATTTGTAAAGTGCCTGAATGGAGCGTACTTACTTTGGTGAACGATATACTGTAGAGAAAAGAAAAAAAAAACTGAAATTAATATTCAATAAATGACGGGGCACATCGCGTGTATTTCGAGTTTGACACAGACGATTGTGTTTGCTTATTACTATACAAGCTCAAGACAGGAGTTGAGTGATATTGTCAGATACGTGTAAAACACACGGATGTGACAATATTTCTCATCTTGCAACGTTCGCAGGAATTAATGCTGCTTCTTCCTCCTTTAAATATTTCAGTTAACACATAAGATCATCGCTATAGCATATTTTGGTGCACAAATAGGCGTTTTCTGAGTTTCTTTTATAGTGTCAGTTAAGTGGCAACAAGGATTTTATGCAGGAAGATCCCTGAAGTGTGGTTACTCCAAAACGAATCTTATCTAGGGGCACTAGTTTATGCATAATTATTTGAGAACCTGGCATAAAAAAGTTTACTTAGTTTTACACTCACCACGAAGAGGAGAAGGAGGAGCGAAAACTTGAAACTTTGAGCCATGTTAGCGGCTGTACTTAATGAGCTGAGCATTTAACAGGTGCCTCCTTCCTTTCGCGTAAATGCTTTCACGCCACTACCATTTATACAAATAATTCTATAAAAGAAGAAAATGCGAGTGCGCTCATAGAAGAAAATGAAACAAAAATTAGACGTCAAGCGCATTTTATTTGCAGGAGAAGATTCGAGCTTTTTTTTTCTTTTTTTCAAAAGGATGAGGTTCAACAAAGGACATTCACCGGATGAGACTTCTGAGTGCCTGTGCACACCTTATACACCAGCTCACGTTCACAAGCAAACAGGAGCGCCCCTAGCCGATCGGCAGTGGCGCCGCGCCGCGCATGCGCGATAGGGTGTGGGCAGGAAGCATCACGACCCGCATCAACAAATCATTAGAATTTGATGTCGTCGGCGTCGGTGTGAGTCCCGTGCACTTTTTTGCGTTGGAAGTGTTGTTTGTACGTCTTCCTAGCAATCCCTAACCACTCTAGTAGCCTGAACGAAATTAACCAGACTCATTACACCGCAAAAGTTCGCGTAAATAAGCTGACGTGCGTCGATCCATTCAGCGTGAACGCCGCAGAATGTACGTTAAAGCCTTGCTTACATGATAAGATTCTGCTCGCAATTTTCATTCGCGGCGTCACCCGGGTTACAAAAGCGTGTACGAGTACAGTAGTTGCGGTGCTCGACGTCGACACTAAAAATCGCAAGCAGAATCGGGGCATGTGATTCATGCATTACGAGTCGGTGATGGCCAGTGGTAACACTGATCAACACCTCCTTATATCTACTGTTTACACCGAGCCTACTCACACCAAGCAACCTTCCAGCTTAAAAGATTTTCAAGCATGCACTTTTTACGGATGGTTTGTTCTACTGGCGGCTGTCGTTTGAAGGAGCAGACGATAGTTTAAACGAGTTTGAAAGAGAATACGACAATTTGAACTATACCACGGGCGTTTAACGTGAAGGCGCACTGAACGTGTTCTGCGAGTGGTCCGAACAACTTGACGGTTTTTCTGGGTTTATGTTGGAACAAACCAAAATATATCTGACGACCACAAACATCCGTGCATTCCAGTGTTGCGGAATGGGCACCCCCATTCCATTCCAATTCCATTCCGGGGAATTAGAGTTTTCGATAATTCAATTCCTTTTAATTCCTAAAAAATGGAGACACTAAGCCCATTGCCACTCCTGGAATGGCTAAATCGTTCCATTCCATTCCTTAAATTCCTAAACGTAAAAATTGGCACTCCACAGCTACATAAGGAGTATAAAGCTGACATTATCAAATGCAGAAAAAATTGCAAAAAAAGAAAAAAAAAGATAAATTCCTCAAAAAACACTGATTTTTACTAAGCGGACCGCTGGTGGCAGAAAGTGTTTATTTACAATGTACTGCAAACATCGAGAAAGCCCCTTGATATGTCAATGCTTCTTTAAGACATCGGTCTCGCGACCACGTCGCTCGCAACAAACAGCAAAACTGAAATCTACTCATTTTCTTTTCTTTTTTTAAATTTTTTTTTGCATTTGACTTTCAAGACGTACGCGGCCAGCGTGTTTGTTTGATAAGACCATAAACATATCCAGTTCGTGCGTGGCGCAGGAATAAGCTATATTACTGTATTCTTCAAATACAGCAACACGGCTAGTACACTGCTGGAAGCGACTCTATGCACAGCGGCAGAACACATCCTCTGACAAAATGGAACGTCTGCGGCGCAGCACGAGGGACCGTATAGACCATGTCACGAAACCTGTTTTAAAACGCATAAGTTCACACTTGCTTTACGAATCTCGATATTTCTTATCATATTCAATTAAATTTTTGGCTGGTTCGCCTGCCCTTTTCCACCCTTCGCATACTCATTCTCGTGTTTCCTCTTCAGATGGCGAATAAATTTCGATGATATACGCCGACTGCACCGTGTATAGTTTCGTTGCACAACTTTCAGCGTGCAGCTTGTTTATTTTCTTCGCGATTAATGTAGAACAATGTCTTCTACGATGCCATGACTCAATCTGTATTTATCTTGTCTTCTCGTACGAATTGTGATGTTCCTCTTCGCGCTGATCGAGTGGCGGGTTCAGGCAGCAGACGGTACCAACCGATTCATTCTTCTACCTCGGTGTCGGTTGTTTACGTAGTGGCGACGGGTCGGGAAGTCAGCGTTGACAAAGCTCTTCACATCAAGATACAATTAACGGGGTAATACCGCACCGTTCGAATTGACATTCCCCGTGTTTCCTCATTAACACCGTCCAACTGACTTCTCACCGCCTCAAATAGGGTCCAGGACAAGGAGCACGAATACAGACCGGACAGCCGAGACCCGCAGAAGCCAAAACCTTGGTGGCAGCTAGCACCCAGCTCTCCTTCTCAGTTGCCCTCACAGCAACGGTCGCTCCTCGTCTGGCGCGGGACGGTCTTTCTGCAGGTCTAATCAGTTCGGTCACTCCAAGAGCGGCGACGATAGTCTACTTCACCTTACGACGGACCTCAACAGGCAGCACGAGAGCCATCGAAACCAATCCAGTGCTTTCTGAGTGCTGCGTGACCCTGCAGTCCTGCTCACAGTACTAGATTGCCCAGGGTTACTCGTAGCGTCCGCAGCGGTCCACCGCAAGGTGAAACGAAGTATGCAGAGTCTAAATAAAGTCAAGGGAAATGAGCGGGAATCCGCTAGCTTGCTTGTAACCCCAACCCACTAAAACATAAAACACAAAAAAACAAGCATTGGACTAAAGACCAAGTAATAGGCGGACATACAATACAAATGCAGTACAAAAAACAAGCCTCGGAGCAAAGCGCAAGAGAAGAAGAGGGAAGTGAATCTCGCTTTGTTTTAATGCCGAAGCAAACCCACATTTCGCACTTCAAAGGAATGCGCACGAATGAACGTGGAAGGCAGCAGGGTTGGCTGCCTGCTAAACAACGCGCCTCGATCTATAAGAAAACAATACCTGATCATCTTTCGACGGCGCCCAAGTCAACGAGTTATCAGAGCTCTGCGAGTTAAGAGTCGCTTCCGCTCTCAGATCTTAGTCTGTGCGCGCGCGTGCATTCTACAAACCGTCGCAACAACAACAAAAAAAGCATGACAAGAAGTACGAGGAGGAGTTGTGCATGGCGGTTTCTTTCTTTGCCGCTCCCTTTTCTTTTGCTTGGTGCTTGGTTTCGAAGCCCGACGCCTGCGCGTCCGCGAAAGGCGCCACGTTACCCCCCTTTCGCCCTTTACTTTTTGCTTTGACGCTTTTTTTTTTGTATTGCATTTTGTTGGCGTATAAGTCTGTTAGGGCTCCTCGCGGGCTAGCAGTTTCCCGCTCATTTTATTTCTGAGCAACTGACTCACTAGGGAGTTTTAGAATAACGTACGCAATATTAGCGCACGCTAGCGCTAAATTTAGCGCTTGTATTAGCGCATTCGCGACGCGAGAGAGTTTTAGAATAGCGTTTCTCCGTCGCGACGCAAAAGCCCAAGCATCTCGCGCTTGCGACGCCACCAAGATACGGTCACAATTTTTATTTTACACACGAAATGCCCTAACTTTAGAAAAAAAATTTTTTTGGTTCAAAGTATCGTTTTAGATTTGTTTAAACATAAAAATGCGACGCGAGCGGCTGACCGGTCGCGCCCGCTTGCGTCGCCTCGGCAAGAGAGGTCTCGTGTACTGACCTTCGCACATTGTACCTTCGCCGAAAAATGTTTGCACGTCACAAGCATCAAGTTGCCGGTGATCGTTGCCAAACTGAGTACAATGTCGTCCCGTATTTAAAAACGCAGTCGCGAGGATGCCGGCAATGTCGCACTCACGACGCCGCCAAAGCAGCCGCCGACATAATCCTGGAAACCGCCATTGTTTTAACTGTGCTCGTCTTGACTTTAGCCAACTTCTCATCACGAATCCTCCTTGGAGAAGCGCAAAGACTCTTTGCGTACGCACGCTATTTCCGAGAAATAGCGCACGCTAAAATTGCGAACGCAAAGCGCAAAACCTGGTTTGCGTTAGGAGCACGCACAGTAGCGACGACGCTATTCTTTGCGTGCGCAAAGCTTTAGCGTGCGCTATTCTAAAACTCCCTACTGACTGGCTCGGTTTAGCTGACCGTAAACACAAAAAAAAAAAAAAAAATAAGAAGAACCGTGCCCATTCCATTCCCATTCCATTCCCTTCAACGTTGCCGCCATTCCATTCCCATTCCATTCCGGGGTCGTGAAAATGCGGAATGATTCTGGAATCATTCCAACTCCGGAGCGGCAACTCCGCAACACTGGTGCATTCATCCCAAAGTGCTTCGCGCACAAGCAATCGTGTTCTGACGGTGTCTGGTCTTCCTTTTCACAACACCTATCCACGTTCTCGGACGAACCGAGCATACAAAAGACACATGGAAAATGATCTTCAAACTTTTCCCTGCTCTTTCGGCATTTTTACGAGAATGCAGGTTTTAGTATGGTGCTTTCAAAAGAACACAGGAATGCCCGTCCCGCATGGTGACTTCCGCCCACAGCCCCTGACCGTAAGTGCGCCCAACACGCTACGCAGCTGTGTAACTTAGCAGAGTTGAGTTGGTGCATACTCAGAGGGAGCTCACACTTAAAGGTCGACCTATAGAATTGTCTTCTGCAGTGAAAAAAAAAAAAAAACATTTTCCAGTTACTTATTTCTCATTCCCTCTCCATATAGGAGCGGGTCTACACGTGTTAAAATTATTGTAGCCATAATTGTCCCGATTTTAGGGAGTATATACACTTATCTTGGCGAGTGTCATAATGATGTTCAGATTGAATGCAGGATGATGGTTAACTTTGTGTCAGAGGTTTACTGTCCTGGTAAACGTAAATTGCAAGTTTATATGTGCATACTTGGTGAAAGCTCGATATTTTATGTTGCTAGAAAAAGGGAGATGTATTAGCGTCATAGACGAAACTGTTTGTTAGGCGAACAGCTTTTTTTTTTTTTTGTAATAGGTGTAGACGTGATATATTTGT